CGGAAGAGAGCCATCAGCTCTGTCTGCAGCTACATCGTGTACCAGTGCAGCCGCCCGGCCCCGCTCCACTCCCGCGACCTCCACTCCATGATCGTGGCGGCGTTTCAGTGCCTCTGCGTCTGGCTCACCGAGCACCCCGACATGCTGGATGAGAAGGTGACAACACTCTCCACTGCACACATTTTGAGCATGTCAAATTGTAACGCCTGTTGTGCCTGACCTGTCTGTTCCTGATACTTTGATGTGGTTTTCTCAGGTTTCAGAAGTGCACCAGGAATTTCAGAACTAGTTTCCCTGCAAAATAGCTTGGAATTTTGATTTCTTCTTTTTGTTCAGCAAGAATGTTTTTGACTTTCAAATTACCTTTTGTATTTCTAAGAATGTCTTGATCTTTCTTCTGATTTGGGAAGCTTGAAAAATAGAAAAGAAAACCAGAAAAAAACAGAAACTGAAAAGAGAAATATCATAGAATCACAGACTGATTTGGGTTGGGAGGGACCTTAAAGCTCATCTAGATCCAACCCCCTGCATGAGCAGGGACACCCCCCACCAGCCCAGGTTGCTCCAAGCCCCATCCAACCTGCCCTTCAACACTGCCAGGGATGGGGCAGCCACAGCTTCCCTGAGCAACCTGGGACAGTGTCTCACCATCCCAATAGTGAAGAATTTCCTCCTCATGTCTCACCTAAATCTTCCTCTTCTAATTTTAATCCATTCCCCCTTGTCCTCTCACTCCCTGCCCCTGTCCAAAGTCCCTCCAGAACTTTTCTGTAGCTCCTTCAGCCACTGGAAGGTGCTCTGTGGTCTCCCTGGAGCCTTCTCTTCACCATGCTGAACATCCCCAACTCTCTCAGCCTGTCTCCAGAGCAGAACTGCTCCAGCCCTCTGACCATCTTCTTGTCCTCCTATGGACTGGTTCCAACAGCTCCATGTCCTTCTTGGGAGCTCTGGAATTGGACACAGTTCTCCAGGTGGGGTCACAGGAGAGCAGAGTAGAGGGGAAGAATCCCTGCCCTGGCCCTGCTGGCCATGATGTATGTACAGGTGCATGGCTACCTGCTGCAGGTGACAGTCACTAAAAGCCAGGTCTGCTCTCATTTCTCAGCTGTTACTTGACTTCTAGACTTAACAAAATTCCCTTGATAGTAATATTTTGATAATCATAGCTTATTTCACCAAGAAATCAGTTTTCTAGAAGCTGAGCAAGGCTCAATCCAAGCTGGAATTTGCTTTGGAAGCTTGAAAAGAGCAGGAAATGAGATGTATGTTTCCAACAGGCTTCTGTCCTGCTGGTTTTTTAAAAAACACCTTTTTAATTTTTTTTTTAGTGCATATTTTCATTGTTGGTCCCCTTGCAATGACAATTCAGTGATTTTTCTATATTTTCAAATAGAATGTATATTAATGTGCATTATAGAGTGTTTAATATGTTTTTTACAAAACATGTCTTAGGTATCTTTATATTTTATCTGTATAATCTATAGCATGTATTAAAAATGTCTGCTTTTAAATAAAATAAAATTGAAAGTCCACAAGCAGAACCATATTTAAGGATGATTTCTGTGTGCCCTTTGGGATACTGGGATGGCAGTAAGTGACTTGGACAGGATGGTTTCCGTGGAAGTGGCACAGCATGGGTTTGTTCAGTTGCATAATGCTTAATCCCTTCTCATTGGGTTCTGTTTTTACTTTAATTATCATTGCATATCAAGATAGTGCTCCCTTGTGTGTGCAGGGTGTACTGGGCACTTTGTAGCTCATTTGTGAGTCACAAGAACTCAACAGGAATTGGATTTGCAAGGATTAGAATTGTGATTTTCCAGGTGCTTCACTTTACATTTGCTTTGAATTTCACCTGCTGTTTCACTAGGGGACATTGTGAACTCCCTCTGCAGTTCTGTGTCTTTGCATCTTGACACTGACTGATTTTGCTCTGTCAGAAAACGAATCTTCCTCTTCACCTCTTTCTAAATCAGTTGTGACTCAAAAGAAGGGCATAGGCCAAGGTATAGAACACTGTGTGGCCTCTGGTGATAAAAACTGATCACTTGTGTTCAGATTTTAGCCAGTTATTTATTCATGAGAGCGCTTTCCTTCTTATTCTGTAGCTCAAGCCATGAGACTTGAACCTTTGTTGTAGCAATCCAGATATTTTCAGCAAATAATTCTGTAATGAGCAACAATTGTGAGTCATTCCTGTGGCTCTACCACGTGTTGGCCTGTCCTGTAATGATTTGTTGAACCTCTGCTGTGTATTTTGAGTATTGTTGTTGTTCTCTTGATGAATTAGGTATAATGATACATTTCACTTCTGAAAACTGCAATTGAAAGATCTGGAAAAGGATTTCTTGCAGTTTTCTAGAATAGTTCCTTCTTAATGTGCTTAGGACTTAAAAGTTCTCCAGAGAGTCTCAGAAATGCAATTATTATCTCTTTAAATATGTTCACATTCTTCAGTTGCACTCTTAGTGTTCCTCTTGGCAATTTTGTACGAATGTCATGGAATATATGGGGTGTGTATATATTCAGAGCACTTTCTACCATTAGAATACAAACATAAGTAGGCATCTATAGATGTAAAAAGTACAATTTCAATAGCAAATGTGATCTTATTCCAAGACTGTCTGTTAGAATAATCTTCTGCCTTTATTTCTGAGTTCATGTTACCAGCACTACTTTATTTTTAACAATAGTGTATCACTGTTTCACTGGGGTCTTGGAGGCCTTTATGGGAGTGCTTCTGCTTTAAAGTCTTTCCTTTTTTTAGGATTGTTTAAAAGAAGTACTGGAGATTGTGGAGTTGGGCATTTCAGGAAGTAAATCTAAAAACAGTGAACAAGAGGTGAAGTACAAAGGAGATAAGGAGCCAAACCCTGCGTCCATGAGAGTGAAGGATGCTGCTGAAGCCACGCTGACATGGTAGGTAGTTTGTCAGAGCATTTGTTAAGTATTGCCTTGTCTGAGGGTGTCTGGAGTTCCCAGCTGGGGAGATCTTGGTGATCTAGCATTTGGGAAGTCAGCCAGAAGCTCCCTCTGTTTTCCCCTTAGGGCAGGGTTGTCCTGTGCTCTGCCTTCCCCCTCCTATTGTAGGTGTTCAACAGGAAATAGATCCCTGTGATTGTTGTCTTCCCCTCCTGGCTGTTCTCTTCCTTGAGAGCAAAACTCAAACCCTTCTGCAGTCCCTGGCGCTCTGTTCTCAGCCAGTCCTCTGCAGACAGCTCTTTCCTCCATCTCCCACCTGCCCTAGTGATCCTGTCTTCACATTCCTTCCTTTCCTTGCCCTCAGCCTGCCAAGTTACACCCTCCCCACGCTGCTTGGTGGGCACTGGTGGTGGGCACTGTCTGGTGTTTAACAGCAGGGAATGGCACACGTGGCAGATGTGGTGCAGGATGGGATGTCATGCTGCTCCCAGCCAAGCTGGGCTTGCTTCATCTGCTGGAGAGGTTCTGCTGGGTGTGCAGTAACAGAGACTGTGTGAGCTAGGGAGGGGAAGGAAGCACAGAGGGAAATTGAGATCTGCTCCAGAGAAGCTGAAAAACACTTGTACTGGATGAACAGCATGGTGGTGATAGGATGGAGTGAGGATGTGTAGGATAAATATGTTTTGCGAATGGAAATAGCTGCCATCTTTTGTGCTCTGCTTTGCAATAGAATTGTTAAACTTTACTGTTAGAAAAAACAACTGTGTGATTTCCAAGGAATAAACAACTACTTATTGGTACTTGTGGACAAATCTTTATCGTTTGCCTAAAAGAGCACAACCTCTCTCCTTTAAGGCAGAGAAAAGTGGAGAAGTATGTGGGGAGGATTTCAATAAACTGATGGTCTGGGTGATGGTGTTAAGAGTAAAACCCTGAGTTAGTTCATAAGATGTTCAGTCTGACACTGGTCACTCGTTACTGGTTCCTGCCATAGAAATGTTCAGTTTCTGGTAGCATTAGGTACACCCTGTGCAACTTAGAGCATTTCAATCAGTTTTCCTGAAGTTACAGGTTCTGTTTTAAAACCAGCTGATAAGAGAAGGCAGGCAGGCCCCTGGTAGGACAACTGCTGTGTCAAGATAGAAGTGAAGAATGTGAGTGAAGGTCTGTGCTTGGGTGGAAGAGTTTGTTTTTTGTCATAACTCGTAACTTTTTTCTGCCTTGCAGTATCATGCAGTTACTTGGAGCATTTCCTTCTCCCAGTGGCCCTGCTTCTCCTTGCAGCTTGGTGAATGAAACCACATTAATTAAATATTCTCGTCTACCCACCATAAACAAGCACAGCTTCAGGTACTTTGTTCTGGATAATAGTGTCATCCTGGCCATGTTGGAGCAGCCTCTGGGGAATGAACAGAGTAAGTTCATCCTTTCCATTTCCTTCTTCTGGTTAAAACTGTGTGGAGCTGCAAACCAGAGGCTCTTCATCAAGTGTCTCTCTGCTTTCAGTGTCTTACCTGTCCTGTGGGTTAGAGCAGAGTAGTGTTCTCGGGGGAAGTAGTGGAATAACTGTAATACCACTGGTAGTCAAATGTTCACAAACCCATCTGGGTTGTTCATGTGCTTGTTTCTGTCTTTCACCCAGTCAGGTCAGATCCTTACAGCTGCCTGCCTCTGAGTTGCTGCTGACAAAAGCAATAGCATTACATTTTGAAAACATCCTTGTTCAGAAAAGAATGAAGATACAAGTATAGGAGGCTTGACAGGGATAAGTGCTCAATAAAGGGTTGGTGTGACACCTTTCTGCTTGCACAGCTACTTTTGCTTGCTGCAGGTCTCCTGTTACTAATGTTGCCATGGGTGCTTTCAGCTCAAATGGTTTTGGTTGCTTAGAAGCTGTTACAACTTTCCCGTGTACCATCCTGTTCCATTGGTGACACCTGCTGAGCAGGGGATCTGTCACAGAGTATTGGCTTTCACAGCTGAATCTAAATTGTTTCAGCCTCATATGGTTTGAACAAGAACTTACATTTTAAAAAATCTGGTATTAAATTACATGATGCTCTGAACTGAATAATTGATCCCCTGTAAGTCTTTATGTATCATGACATGACCTAACAGATTAGAATTGCTACTTCAGTTTAAGACTAATGTGTATTAGATCTGCTCTCTGCCACAGATCTGTTTTCCTCATCTGTGGACAGTCTGTGTTGGAGCAAGTGTGTTCCTGACTAGGATGAGTTAGAGCAATCCTCATCCTCACTCTGCCTTTGCTCAATGAACTTAGGAATCCTGTAAAGCTATTAGAATCACATATTAGAGTATCTTTTCTTGCTGTGCATCATTTGCTTTCAAATCCTTTTGAATTATGAGATGAATTGCAGTGATGCACAAGTACATCCCATCACTTCTGAGGCAGATTACTGCAGTGGGTGACTTGTTTTGGTTTATCTCTGTGTGCTTAAACAAAGTCAGCCCTGAATTCAAACCGGGATGATGCAAGCTGGTAGTCCAGGTAGGTCTTGAAAACCTAGGAGGACAATTTCTCTGTCTCCCTGTTCCTCATGAAGAATTTTCCATCACGAGAAGTCAGAATATTTCCCTGTCTTAGTTTGACCATGTCGCTTGACCTTCAGCTGTTCTTACTGTTGTGTTTGTGTGGGACCTTTACAGAAGGTCATGGAAGTATCAGGGAAGCTGTTTCTCTGCATGGGCACTTCTCTTACCTAAGCAGGCACTGGCTGAACAATCATTTTTTCATTTCCTGGAGATAGTTTGGAGAGGAGCTGTGATCGGCATGAATTTGGATGGAAGTTGCTTTTAATGATGAAACTGAGTTGGCAGCTGCTGAACAGAGCAGACCACACCACCTCTGCCTGCTGCAGAGAGGAGGGTTACTTACACCTCACCAGGAATTCTTCAGGGTCAGGAAGGAGTTAACCTTGAAAACCAAACTTCTATCATGATGCCTGTGTTTCTTTCTGGTAAAGTTATTGCAGAGTGAACCGTTTGCACTGTCTGATGATGTCTTCTCTTCAGCATGTGCTTTGCAGAT